TATACTAGAAACACTAGCAAATCAGCCCCTCTACTTCATGTTATTCGCAGAACAATCCTTTTAGTGGGAATGACATCATCCCGCTATTAGACCCATCCATTGCCCATTAAAGCTTGATGAGTTGGCATTGATTGGGAGCTAATTGGGTGCTGATGTGGACCAATATTACTCCACCTGGTGACGTGGCATTGATTGGGCGCCGACGTTGACCAACTTACTTTAGTTGGATTAACTTGTAAAATATTAAATCTAGTAAAAAAGCTAAATCTCTTGATAGTAACTCTATCTTCCGACTCCAACAACATTCCCAACCTCCACTCTCAATCTCACATATTACATCAACAACCAACCGAAACCCGTCAAGCAAATCAACCAAAATCTTTGCACATCCCTCCTAAACCAATACTCTATCGGGTTTCAAATCTACAACTTAAATCAATACACATCCAAATAAAAATTTAAAAAATAAAAAAAATTGAAGAATTGAAAGAAAACCCAAATTTGGGTTTTAGATTTGGAATCTTCCTCCCTTCTTTCTCCCATCCTTTCCTCTCCCTTCTCCTTCTTCCTTCCTTCACCTGCTCATTGTGGCACTGTGTCTTGTTGTTCGGTAAGTGTAGGTCTAGATCAAACCTATGGCTCACCATTTGGCAAGCTTTGGTTTGGATTAGGACTCCACGGTTTCCAAACGATAAGCCTAGAACTAGATTAGTCAACAAAATCATGGCAAATGAAAGTTGCACAAGGTCCAAATAAAAAATTAAAGGAAGGAGGTAAGGAAGAGGATGAATTCGTGTCCCATTGAGTTGTGAAGTGGAAGAAACCTGAAAATTTTGGGAAAATGAATGAAGGAAAATGAGAGAGAAGAAGGAATGAAGAGCTGGTAAGAGATGGGTGAGAATCGAGATGATGAAAAGAAAATAATGAACGAGGAAGAATAGTGAGTTTGATTTTTTTTTTTTCTCTTGATTTTTTTGTTTGTTGTTTTATATGTTTAAATATGTAAGAGTGAAAAAAAAAATCTCAAAAATCTTTTTTCTCCCAAATCAAGTGGTTTTTTTAAGTCAATGCCATGTCATTGCCCAATCATCATCTTTTGTTAACTGGCCAAAAAAATCAAACGAAAAGATGACGTTTCCTTAATAGAAAGGGTGATTTGTGGATTTCATGTAGTAGAGGGGTTGATTTGCCAGTGTTTCTAATACAGGGGCTTATTTGCCACAACATTGCAAGTACAAGGGCTGAATTACACCTTCTGCCTATTTTAATATTACTGATACATAAATAATTTTAATTAATTAAATAAAAATTAATTATAAAAAATATATTTATTATAATTTTATTCCGTACGTTTAGAATAAAATAGAATAGAGGATGGAAACTCAAAATATATTACAAAAATACAAATTTACAATTTTATTCTCTGTTAAGGTCCAGGCTGACGAGGCCCAATTTTTTATCAGCGTAAAAGTAGCAGCATTGGGCTGAATTTTGGGCCTCATTACCCTAACAACTATTCACTCCATGTTTGGGTTGAGAAATATCAATCAATTCAATGCCTATTACCTGTTATTAAAAAAGCTTTCAATAAAGGCCCAACTAGTGCTAAAGCTACAGAACTGATTTATCTTAATCCAATAACTTAATTAATTAAAAAAAAATGTATTAACTGATTAATCAAATAAAATCATCTCCTTTTGCATGCATAGTTAAAGAGCCCTGTGATGTTTTGATCACCTATATATATATATATTTGAATAATATGAATATTCGGGCCTTTAAAAGGTGAAAAATTGTGTGATTGCTGGGATTAGGTTGTTCTTGTTCATTACTGGATTGCTCAGGAATAGGTCTTCAAAAACTTACCTAGCCCCCACAAGCAAGTACATGTTAATGGAATTCAGAAAGGCTATAGGCTTGGTATATCTTTTTTTTTTTTTTTTTTTGGTATTAAACCTTTTGGTATCAAGAAGTCACGTTAGATTCTAATTAATTTAGAGTCGAGTCAAATCAGATCTTATAAAAAAAAAGTTTTTTTAACTCTTATTTTTACATTCAGAAGACTTAAATTTAAAATTTTATTTAAGGAAAATCAAGTTTCTTTCACTTGTTTTATATGTCTTTCTATGTCATGAGTGAGCTCTAGAGATTTAGGTCTTTCATAGGAATAGCAATTTCTCCTAATTCTTGTGGGGCTCTACAAGGATCCCCACCATATGGGTGGGATTAGGAGGAATATTTTTTTTTACGGGGCAAGAACAATGATAAGTTTTTTCCTATAAAATTTTGTAAGAAATTTTCTTTGCTTCGTGGGGATGCCTCTTTCCCATTGAATATTGAAAAAATAAATAAAAGATATTAAATTCAATACAATTTAAATATTTAACTTATTATCATATATAGACATACCCATTACTCGTTTGTTATTTTAATTTAATACTAAAATCTAATTATTTTAAACCAAATCAAATCCAACATTTTTTTTACTTTAATCCAACTATTTAAAATATTTTTTTAAATAATAAGATAAAAATAATTAAATTAATTTAATAATATAGATTGACAAAGGGTAGGAAATCTTTGTAGAGACCTATTCCCCATGAGTAACAGGGTCATCAAGCAAATTCTACTTCGTAAAAAATCCTTGTAAGGATCTCTGTCCTCACAATTCACAAGGATGAAGATGAGAGGCACTCTTTGGCCTGCAAGGCCTTCTTGTCATCCCTAGTCACCCAATTGCATCAATGTGTGGGGCATCATAAATCTTAAGACACAATTATTAAACCAATTAGTTAATGGTATTATTAGATGTTCAATACAGACTACAGAGACCATTTAGTACCTGATAAATATGCTGATCAACTTTTCAAAACCAAAAATGATATATAAGCTGATCCAATCAGGACCAGCTTGAGAAAACACTAATTAAGACAGCTCCATCAACCTCGGACAACTACACCCCAGCCAGTACAATATGCTATATAGAAAGCTTCATATATATATATATATATATAGACGAAGCTGAAGATGGACACAACAGCAACTTATTTCAGCTTGCTAGACTTTGAATCCTGATGAGGATTGATGAGGCGTATTCGCTGGTGCTGAATCAATTCCACTAATTAACACTATAAAATTCAATAAAAGTGATTAATATATTTTTTAATTCAATATATCTCACAATAGCGATTAGTTCAATCATCAAAATTTATAGATTTAGTTTTTTCATCTTTAGTTTAAATTTAAAAACAATAACTTTTAAATAAATATATTAAATAAAAAAATATATCAATTGCTGTCTAAATTCAAAACAGGTTAAAACTATAGAAACATTAATACTTTTTTTGGCGGAAATATATAGTAGAGCAGTTGATGGTTAATTATATAGTTACCCGTTGCAATCAATGGAGGGGCTGATCTTGTAAGGAATATTGACGCCGCATTTGCCAGGGAGTTCGGCCGCACGGCGGAGGTTGGCGTTGGAGTAGGGAATCCCATCAATGGCAGATTTGAGGCAGTTGCAAATACTCCGGCGGTCGAGTGTGGTCTGAGCGGAGCTGAAGATTGTTTGGACTCCGTTGCAGCAAGATGATGACACATGCCCGCCAAATAATAGGTAGAATATGCATGGACTCACGTCGCTCTTCATAACTCCACAGGACAACGCTGCCTGGGCCTGGAGACCAGGCACCATCATGATGTATATAAGCACTGAGCACCCCACAAGCCCCCCACAACTAGCCATAGTAATAAGCTCTATTTAGGACACAAATTGACAATTGTTTAAAGGAAGGTGAATTGGATGGCCGGTCAAGAACCTTAAATATCTATTCCCTTTTTTCCTTTTTGTTTTCCTGAGTACTCGTGGGTTCAATGTAATGAGACGTGGGGGTTTATATAGGGAAAGATGTGGTAACTGGTAGTGATTATAGATGAGCATGTTAAGTGTTGTCTTTTTAAGAAAAATGATTCATACGAAGATTTGTTACAATGAAATAATATGTATGTATTGTAATTTTTTATGATAGCTATTAAAAGTTAATAACTTACTAATTAGTATTTACATTAGTATATATCTACTCGTGTGAAGTAGTATTTAGATTTAGGAGTAAAATTGTAGAATCCAAGATATCATGCTTTTTTTGCGCCACAACATTTTTGGCATTTCAAGTTACGTAATAACTATCATTGGTCACAAGCATTCTAACTTCAAAACGGTTTCTATTACTTTAAAGTATACATGTTTTTAACGTCTCAAGTGATAACGCATCGTCTTACAAAGAAAAGAAAAATAATGGATTCTTCGTAGTGACCAATTGCTCAAGATACTAAGATAGTTTCGATCTGTTTAAAATGTTTTGGCTTTCTCAAAGATAAATTTCGAGAGGGTTAAAGGGTAAAATTGGAGGTTGTCATAGGCCGATTCGGGTCAATTCTAGACTAGAATTTGTTGGGCCTTAGGATGGCATAATGGAGTGGGCAGAGATGGAAACCCAAATGAAATCTTGAATGAAGCCCAAACCGCACATTTGAGTCCATAAAGTTTTTCACATGCATAAAGACTCATGAACGCCTAAAGCCCACACCAAGCTTTGTAAGCTAGTTAGTTAGTGCACTCAATGTTTTAATTGATATCATGTTTCAAATTACGATAATGGCATTAGTCCTGGCAAACAGGTTAGGTTAGATTGGGTGGGTTTGGATTATATCATCTTAGATTTTAGGTTGTTCATATTAGGTCATTTCGAGTGTCAAGTTAAGGATGTTGATCCATGACTCACCCAAACGGGTCTTGGATTGGGTTGGATGGACCTAATTTTAAAAAAATTAAAATTAATTTTTTTTATATTTTTCTCTATTTTTCTTTAACAAAATCTAAAACTAATTAATTATTTAATTAAAAAACTTTATTACTAATTAACTAGTTTGAAAACTTATTAGACGTTAATTTCCATTTCATAATTCAATTTTTTTCTAATCTCAAGAAAGAAAAAGAAAAGATTAGTGATAATATAGGTGGAACTAAAATATATGTCAAACATATAATACTTATACAATATTTAGAATTCATATTTCATAAAGGTATTAACTTCAATTAAAAGAAGAAACATGAAGGATTAAATTTCAAAAGACAAATCCAATATATATATTGATATTGAGTGCCTATTCAATATTTATAAGAGTATTATATAAAAAATACAGTTTTATTCAATATTTAGAAGGGCATCATACAAAAAAATATAGCCTTATTTAATATTAAAATTTAAAAGATAAATCCAAAATATGTCTAACAAAATACAAGAAGAAATTGGATCAGAATTGATTTTTATTAATTAGGAACAAATTATTAATTAAGAACAAATTAGTAACTAAGAACAGAGTTTGATGTTCTTGATGTTCTTATTTTTGTACTTTTAATGGTTATGAGGGTATCTTAACCATTAGGTTTTGATTTTCAATAAGTATTCTTGCTTTTTATTTTTAAAAAATGATCTTTTTTATGATGTCATGTAACATAGCTTACTATGTGCCATATAATATAATTTTTTATGCGAGTGCCATAAAAAAGAAGGATTAGAGAACTTGAGATGAAGAAAGGGAGAGCGAGAGTGGAGAAGAGGAAAAGTTGAGAGAAAGTGAAATTGATGAGAGATTATAGTTTAAGTATTTTGTTTATTTCTATTTTTAAGATTAAGAAATTAAAAATTAAAAATTAATTTTTAAGTAATCTAATAAAAAATGAATAAAAAAATTCAGATTATTTCGGATGATCCAACCCACCCGTGACACAATCCATTTGGGTTCAGATAATTTCAGTTTGAGTTATTTCAGATTTCAAATTAAGACATAAATCCCATAACCTTACTCATTATGGATGAGTTGGGTCGAATTTTTAAATTGAGTTCAATTTTACCATATTTAAATGGCATGGCATGATAATATCCTCTTCCCCTACTCCAAATTGTAACCATTCAAAAAAAAAAAAAAAAGGCCCAAAGCCCACATGGTGAATCCATGGTTGTCAATGGCAAAGCATACAAAAGAAGTGGATTATGTAGATCTAATTAACTTGATAGATTATATGCTGGCAGTCGCGGCATACAACTTAGGGAACAACTCTTACATGATAACATAAGACAACAAAGACAAAAAAACACTACCACGAAACATAAGAAGACCCTCGCTAAGGTGGAGACCGGCCCATATTTTGACGCACAAAACGACTTGCATCCTTATTATTCGCAGCTCATATATAGCAACATCTTCAGAAATCCACCACTTTCATCACCTCACTTGACACTGCATCAATCAAAGCGAGACCAAAAGAAAATTAAAAAAAAAAAAAGAAATTTGCTAAGAAACATTTTCTCTGAAAATGGTAAGTTAATTATAAGTTAAAGCTCCCAAAATGAAACTCAAACAAATATATAAAAGCGTTAAAGAATTATCTCATATGGTATGCCTTCTTAAGCAGGAGGAAAAGTGAGTCAATAGAAAACTCAATAATGACATATATATACCTCTTGCAGTTGGTGGAGGAGCTAATCTTGTAAGGGATGTTGACACCACACTTGTCGGGGAGGCCAGCAGCAACGTCACGTTTGAGGTTGTGCATAGCTCCGGCAGCTGACTTCAAGCACTCGCAAGCCTGTTGGCGGTCAGTGGTGGTCCTCGCCTGGCTGACGAGGGACTTGACTCCGTTGCAGCAGGGAGTTGGTGGACGGTCCCCTCCAGACATAAGGTACCCCATGCACGGCTTCATTGCGATGGACACCTGACCGCACGTCAAGGCGTTGGCCATGGGTGCAGCGGCCACAAGCATGCATAGCATTAGGGCACAAACAAGCTTAAGACCAGCTGCCATGTTAAAGACAGATGTATATGACTAACTAAGAAAGGTTTTTTAGAGAAAGGAAAAGGATTGTTGTTTAGGGTTTGGAAAGCCGAGTGAATGTGGAGGGTGGATTGGGAGGTTTAGGATCTATATAGAAGCGGAAGCGGTGGAGAGGAGTGGAGGGTTGGCAGTTGGGCCAAATTGAATGCTATGGTGCTGCATGTCGCGCTCGAATCTCGATTCTATAATTGATTCGTATGGACATAACTTGATGTTTCATCATCTCATCTCCTCGATCTTCTGGGATTGTTATTGAAACAATAATATTTTTCTATTTTTGTTGGAATACGGGAAAACTGAAAAGGAATGGGACCAGCGTTTTTTATTTAATTTTGCCGTCAACAATGGGACCTGCTCAGTCTATCTCTTGCAATATTTTTCTGATCCAAATAACCCCTGATTCGTTCGTATTTTTAGTTTAGCGGTCACATTTTTTTTTAAAGAGATATTTTAATTTAATTGTCAATTTTTATTTTAAATAGTTATATTCTTAATTTCTGTTTTAATTTAGTAATTTTATTTTAAAAAAATTTTAAACATAAATTTTAAATAAAAATTTAATATATTATATAAATAATAATTAAAAATTTTAAAACATTTAAATGTTCAACAAAAGTTACATATAAAAAATTAAACTTTTATTTATATAAATTATTAAATTTTTATATAAAATTTATATCTAAAATATTATAAAAATAAATTAAAATTACTAAATCGAATGGAGTATTAAAAGTTCTTTTCTCAAATTTACTTTTGTTAGAACAAGGTGGTCTGCTGCGCCTAGACCTTGCACACAGATTGCCGTGTTAAGTTGGGTTAGGGTTGGGTTAGAATAAGTTACAAGTTAGAATGGATTGGATTAAAATGAGTCGTGGGTCAATGGAGATTGATCCTAATTCATTCATTATGAGTTATGTGTCAATTTGTGGGTTGATTAAATTGAGTTATTTTTCTTTTTTATTTTTTTTTTGTAGTTTGTACCTATTTTATTTAAAATATTTAAAAATGAAATTCAACATTTTATAAAAAGATTTTTCTTCTATTAATTTAATAAAACATGTTTACAGTTCCTTTACCTTCTCCACTTCCCTTCAAAGATCACTGCTCATCAAATTCACACTACACACTCATAAATCTTGATTGAAAAAAAGAAGAAGAAGCAACAATAGCATGACAACCAAAAAATACAAATCCCATTGGAATGGATTTGTTCTAGTGGTCACTTTCAAAGAATTAATCAATTGAATGCATTTGAGTAAGCGAAGGAGAAGATCAAGTATAATTTTTACTCGGAATGGAGAGAAAACTAAAAAGCATAAATAAGTAAACAATTGAATGCATTTGAAGGCTTTAAAGAGAAAAGTTGATGTCAAAGAAAGTATTGTCAACTATGGCTTGTTGGATTTAAAGGAGAAAGAAAG